GTCGGGTTTCTTCGGCAAGGTCATGGACATGTTCGGCGGCGGCAGTTCCTCCTCCTCGTCTTCGTCTTCGGTCACCACCGCAGCCAAGCCGCCTCCCGCAGTACGTGCCTGTGTGCGGTCGTGTGCGGTCGTGTGTGCGGTCGTGTGTGCGGTCGTGTGTGCGGTGCATCAGCTTATGACAAGTGCGATATGCGTTAAGCAGGAGAAGAAGGAAGGGGCCAAGGAGGGCAAGAAGGTGCCGATGGCCGACACCAACGTCGTGGCCCTGTCGCTCGGCGTGCTCGCCCAGGAGCCCACGCTCATGACCGGCGAGGCCGTGTTTTGTGAAGAGTGCAAGGCCGCGCTGTCGGCCCTCAGCACCCTGCAGACCGCCGACTCAACCAACGCCGGTAACTCTATTTTCTTCTTTATTTCATTATTTATTTCTTATTCATTTATTTATTTGCTAATGTCACCGAACGCGGTTCAGGCGACGAAGACGCCGAGGCGGGGCAGAAGTGGCAGTGCGAGTTTTGCGGCCACGTCAACGAGGACCTGCACCTGGAGGAGGAGGAGATCCCGACCGCCAACACCGTCGACTACATGCTCGCCCCGCCCTCCCTGGTCGAAGAAGGCGAAGGTGAGTACAGCACCACCTTCACCTTCACCTTCACCTTCATCATCACCATCATGTCTTTTCTCTTCAAGGTCTTCTGACTCGTCGTGACGTGCGTTGGTCTCACCGTCACACAGGGCTCATCGTCTTCTGCATGGACATCAGCGGATCCATGTGCGTCTCCACCGAAGTACCAGCGCTCCAGAACGAATGGAAGGCCCTCCGACAGGGCGGCGGCAAGGTAACCGCACACGCACACGCACACACGCGCACGCACACGCGCACGCATGTGACTCATCATATGATGCGCGCACAGTCGAAGGAAGAGAAGAACAAGGAGATCAACGCGTCGTTCAATGCCGAGAACTCGTACCAGTACATGCCGCGGGAGAACCGCAACGCGTCGTATATCTCGCGGCTCGAGTGCATGCAGGCCGCTGTCGACACCCAGCTCCAGCGGCTCAAGGTCCAGAGCCCCAACAAGAAGGTGGTCCTCATCACCTTCAACAACGAGGTACCCCCACACCCAATCTAAATATTTCTCCCATTTTTACACTGATTCTATTTTATGTGTTTTTTTTCTGTTAATATTCACAACATTATAATTCTGTTGTGGAATTATAATGTTATTATTTTTATTTTTATTTTTGTGTCGAACAGGTCACGATTGTGGGCGACGGGTCGAGCGGGGGCAAGGTGGTGACGGGCGACCGACTGGGCGAGTTCGACGATCTGCTCAAGGTGGGCCACGACCTGGACACCAAGGCCCTGCGCCCCATTGCTGAGTCCCTCGACGATGTCTCCCAGAAGGTCGCCCAACTCCAAGAGTGCGTCTCCCATCCTCTTTTCTCCTCTCTTTTTAGCCATTATATATTCTATTTATCCATATTTGGAAAAACAATATTTATAATCTTATTCGTGGAATGTGAATGCATTCCTAGGAATGGAGCGACGGCGTTGGGTCCGGCGCTGCTGCTGGCGGTGGCCATTGCGTCGCACAGCCGGCGCTCGGAGGTGGTGGTGTGCACCGACGGCCTGAGCAACGTGGGCGTGGGCTCGCTCGAGGGCGCCGAGAAGGAGCGGGGCGCCGAGTTCTACA